TATTTAAGTAAAAATATGGAGGGAGAGCGGGATTCGTACGAAAAAAATTTTGAAGAAAATCTATGCCAGTCGAGCGCTACTTTTTGTCGATCGCGTTTATTAGCCGAACCGTCGATGCAAATTCAAATATTGTGAACGGGAAAGATTTAATAGATCACGTAGAGTTCATTATTAATTAAACGAATCATTGCCCTCGCAATTTTGAACTGAAGGGGGGTCACTTCTAAATTTGCTACGCGTTGCCAGCAGAAGCAAATCAATAATACGTGGCTGGTTTATGCATAAAGGGAACATCATTGCGTGAAAGGTGCGATTGGGCGGCTGCTATATGTTTAAAACGTGAATACTGCGAAGCGTATTAATACGGAATCGAACCTTTTTTCGTTTCGGTGCAATATTGGGATTCAGGTGTTCGCCTACGAAAGCGTTTAGGGAAGAAGGTGCAAAACATTCCGTTGCGCCAATTATTAATCAAAGTTGTGCATCCATAAAATAAGTGCAACAAATTTACGAATACGGCTACTGGTAAAAAGGTTAAAGACAATTGATTCAACCTTCTTTTGCTGTTACAACCGTAAGTTACAAGGGTGCATTTTTGACAGTTATACATTGCGGAACTTTGGTAATTTAATACTGTGAATAACTCAACTAATCAAATCAAAGTAAGCCTGAAACACGGTTTATTACTGTATCAAATGTGTCAACCATCCTTTGAAATTAATTTTCAACAAGCAACCCAATTCGACTGGAAATACGGAAGGTCCATTCGTATTGCCTAACACGTTCCACTATCCAATGTTCCAAATTGCTGCTGGCTTCCAACTGATAACTGGAGAAAATTTCAACGCATCGATAAAAGCAAGTTCCCTTGAATTTTTGTATTGTATACATATAGGAATATTAAAAATCCATATATTTAATTAGGTTGATAACGTGACCACGATATAGATATTAAAAAATTAATTTGTATTTGTCACATGAAGTATCTCTATCTTTTAAATCAAACCTTTTTTTTGTATTGAGCTTCGACAGCTATGGTCATTAGCTCTTGTTGCTAATTTAAACCATTTTTATGAATATATTCTAACAAGTCAATTTATATTATGAGTAGGTATTTATTTGAGAGTGATACAACCAGAACATCAGATTTGAGAGTTTCAGATTATAAGAGGAGATAAAGAAGAAGAATAAAGAACACTGGGAAGTAGGTACTTAAAATTAAATTTGAACTGGTCTTAAAACTTAAATTAAGGTACACGAAATGCAAATGGCGGTATTTATGATAAGAAACGAAGAACGCAAATAAATCCTCACTATAGGATTTATAGGTGTGGTCGGAAGTGTTGCGCTTTAGATAAGAAAAGAACAAGAAAGTAGAATTGAAGATGGGCAAGAGAGGGAAATGTGTTAAATAGAAGAGGAAGTGCTGCAACGTGGCATGTGGTCTTTGTCTTCGCCCCCGCCGCCGCCGTGTTTTGCCCTTTTGAGTGAAGTGTTCTTCTGGGGTAACTATAGTGTCGTTTGTAAATAAAGTCGGTTTTTGGATGGTAAAATGGTCACTTTAATCTGTTAAGAAGGATAGCTTTAACTAAACAAATATTAATAGTGTCACCAATAGATGAAGCAGTGGTCACCAAACGCCAATCACAACAGTGTGCGCAAACACAAACAGGGGTAGGTAATTAAAAAAGTGGTTGAAGGAAAAATTGTATCTTTTGATTGTACTTATAAAACAAATAACAATTTTTTACTCTTTGCATCGGCCAGGGAGTTTTCATAAGTTTTCATAGTTTACATTAAATATTTTATGCTTTTCTGTTTTTAATCACAAAGGGAGTTGGGTATTATGAATCCAGAGCTTTATTTCAATTCAAATTATATAAAAATGTGCAGGAAAAAATGTCATTTGTTTAATGTATCATGGCCTAAAGCTATTGCTTTGACGTGCGCCATTTGTGAGGTTGCGAGAGGAATTATACGCATGTGTTTCCTGAACAGAATCTGTATATCTTCAATTATTTTTGGGTACGTTGAAAATTGCATGCTTTCTTGTAACTTACACTGGAGGTATATATATTAGTTTAACAGTATTACACAAATTCCACATAAAACTCTACTGCGTAATACTATACATAAATTTATTCGTTTAATATCTACAAATTTTATATTAAAACTTTCGGTTGCACAACGAAATCTAATTTTGATTCAAGAAGTGTTACCGCCGCCGGTAAAGCTGAGTAGATACTTTTATGGCTATATTTCAAATCACTTTAATGGATTCTATAAATTCGGTACTTATAATTTTATGTAAGCCTGGAGCGGTAGAATATTTAAAACGTTTTGCAATTACCTCAAAGAAAATTCGTGGGAATTGCACAGAAATGGAAACGGCACCAATTATAATTTAATACAACATTTAAAGTCAACTACATGTATGGGTATAGTTTTGCCGTAATTAGGCCAAGTTAGTAAAATGAATTTGGGAATAAGCTTAATTCGAAAAGGCAACATTAACGCTTATGAGGCTTTCTTCCTATATTTTCCAGACACACCGTCCCCACTTTTCAATAGCAGTTGATTTAGTGGGTACTTTGAGCCCTATTGATGGATGTCAAAATAAAACGGTAGTTGCTTTATAAATGAGATTGGCTCTTTTACTTGGATACTTCCGCTAGCTCTTGTTTAAATTCTTCGTATCAAGGAATAAAAGGAGCAACAATAAAGAAAACAATATTTACTTAACTATTAACGAAACTGTTCTTATTCTCTTAATTATCCGCCTGGAAGAAAATACACGTCGGTAAATGAGGATAAGGCAGCTAAAATCTTGATATAGGTACCTGTTATACCTATACAACAACATCGGACTAACTTATAACTCAACAACGAGACCGAGAGAGAAGAGCGGAAAATTCGTAGGTATTTTGTAGTCGAGAGGAAATCACTATGAAGCGGTTGGCACTGTTTAACGGCAACCGAATAAAACATCTAAAATTATAAAATATTGGCACATTTTCTTCCATTTCTGCATTTTTGCTTTGACGCTTATCCTAGTACGACATGCGATATTAACTAGAATTACAGCATTTTAAGCTCTGATGGTGAACGAAAAGGGAAAACCTGTAGAGATCCGTGGTCACATAATTACAATATAGATATTATTTAAGCAAGCCGCAAATTTGCCGAACAGCCTAAGTAATTAAAAGCATTCATGGTAAAGCTTGATCAACTATGCTTTCATGTCAAAATTTATTGCGCTACACGCGTCTTATACAAAACAATTTTGGTATGATAATGCATACCCGTGCCCCGCTTAATATAAATTAATACGAAGGGTTACAAAGCAAACATAATTTACGATATTAAACAAACAAAACCATAAACCCGGCCTTTACAAAACAACAGTTCGAGACATTTGGCTTTATAATTAGTTTCTTTAGCATTGTTCTTCTAATAGGTTAGCACACGTCGCAAATGTGTTTATTGCTAGCCATTAATCTTAACCGTGCGACATCGTTTCAGTCTTTTGTTCGTTGTTCGCCATTTTCAAATCAATCGATACAACACAATATAATTTAGAACCCCAACCGACGGGGACTACCGATATCGATGTGCCAAAACGCAGAACAGAGACAAACGGGTGACTACAACCTCGATTGGTTGCAACAAGCAAGAGTTTGAAATCCTGAGAAAAATTGGATCCTGACTAGGCGTGTTCCCAACTAGGAAAAGTTCCTGTTGTTAGTTTGAACGGGTTTCATGAAGTGGTCAATTACCATACCACTGCAAATCATCTGTCCTTGAATTTAGAAGAGGCGATCCCAGCAATCCTGGAAATCTGAAATGGATTTTTGAACTTTATCCGTTGAAACCCCCCTATGCCAAATGTAAAAGAAAAAGTACCTAAACCTCTCCAAATAGATAGCACACAAATAGACATCATCAAAAAGTGCTTAGTAACTGGAGCGGTGTACATATTTTTAAAAAGAGCTTTTATCTGCTGTGCACACTGAATTTGATGGCGTTTAAAATTTTAAAATCGGAGAAGTGAGGAAAAGGTGAGTACAAGCAAATCACCGACCCCCTCGACGGTGATTGGTTGGTTGGTGGTATCCCATTTCGTTGTTATTAAGAGTGCGCCATTTTAGATACGCCACATTGTAATATAGGTAATCTTATTGCAGTTTCTACAAACCCATGAAATTTGTGAGCTTATAATCGTTGGTGGGGTTTCCTATGTGTATGCAATTAATTTTGTCCTTGTTTCTGTCGAAGTCTTAAGGACACGGGACTTTATCTAACTCCCACAACCCAAATATTGGGGACGTAGGATTGCAATCGAATCGGGTATCCTACATATAAACTCATACAAGAACGAGTCACCTACTATTCCAAACCACTTTTGGTACACATTGTATGGAAAGGTAATGTTCCCAAGTATCCATCCTCGCGATACACGGAGAGCGATATTCCCGAACTGATATTTTTAGTTTTCGCTGAAAAGAAGAGGTTATGTGCGTTCTTCATTTGGTGTTGTGCCAATTGAGGTCCGATTACTACGAACGAACGTCATGTCATGGTCAACTGTCATTGACTATAAAATCAATGATGAAACTAAGTTTTAAGTAAATATATAAACAAGAACTTAAATAACCTAATCAAGTTATATTTCAGAAGTGAACGCTTAAGAAAAAGTACATTCATTGTTAAAAAGTTTTAAAATGT